TTTCATCCCTAATTTATTTTTTCAATAATTTAAATAAAATTAAATTATAAATTTTTTAAAATAATTTATATATATTTATAAGATGGAAAAAATTTATCCCGGGCTCGGGTGTTACAAAATGAATAAGGAAGAGTCACATTTTGAGCTCTTAAAACCCCAACTTATCAATGTGTTCCTCAACTTCTCAAGCCAGGCTCTTGGAGCCTGTTTCAAATTGTACAATGCATTGTTTAGTTTGCATATAGTTTTAAATTTTTCTCCTTCCTCAAACCCTTCAGGTTGCTGTGCATAGACTGATTTTCAAAGATCATCATTTAGAAATGCATTATTGATGTCCAGTTGCCTAACTTTCCAACCTTCAGTGACAATTATGATTAAAATTATCGTAACAGTTGAAGCCTTCACAACAAGGTTGGATGTCTCTCCATAACCAAACCCAGCATTTTGATGGAAATCCTTTAATACTAATCTTGCTTTACACTTTTGAAAGCTGCCATTCATATTTCTTTTGATCATGAATACCCATTTATTCATTAATGGTTGTAGAGGTAGTAGAGACCATGTATTATTTTTCTTCAATGCTTCAAACTCTTCATTCATATCATTTTTCCATTCTAATGATTTTAGTGCTTCATCAGTGGAGATTGGTTCTGTCAATGCTGGGTTGGAATTGATAAGAAAATATTAAAATTTTAGAGGATATGTTTTGGGCTTAAAGATCCCAGCCTTTGATCTAGCTATTATATCATGTTTGTTGCTGTCACCTTATATCTCATATTCAACAACTCGCTCTTCATTTTTCACCAACATTGGATGTTCAAACTAATTTGATTCAATTGAATCACTCTACTATTGTTCTTATTTCTCATTATCAAAGTATGGATAATCACTAAAATCTAAATGTTGAACATCGGGTTCCCTTCCACTTGTTCTTGTGATTGTAAATATTGAGACATATTTTCTAGAGAAAACCATGCTGCATAAGAAGTATCTTAATTACTTGTATCAGTTACACTTTGTTCAGGTATAGAGAAGTTGTTTGTGCTTGGTGAAGTACTTAAGAACCAGTTTGGCATAACTATCATTGTTTGGTTTTTTGGTAATCTGGTATTCAGAAAATTATCACAAAAGAAAAATTCTTATTCGTTGAATGCTACATGTCCCAAAAAATATATTTTTTCAATTGAGCTTAGATATTTGAATCCCTTGTGTGAGTTATTATATCCTAAGAAAATACATTTTGCATTGCAAAATTGAAATTTTTGGTTTTGATAGGATCTAAAACAAGGGTAACATGCACAACCGGAAGTTCTAAGAGATAAATAATTGGGTTTCTTATGAAACAATTTTTTTCTAGAGGACAAACATTATTCAAAATATAAGTAAGAAATCTGTTAATTAAAAATATTACTGTATGGAAAGCTTTAGGCTAGTATTTCCGCGCAACATTTGATAAAACAATAAGAGTTAGGCTTGTTTCTACGATGTGCCTGTGTTTTCTCTCCATTCTCCATTTTGAGGTAAGGTATACAAACATGAATATTATATTTCAATTCTTTGACTTTATAAATAGTTTGGAAGACCTAAGTATTTTTCTCCCATGTTTGATTGAACACACTTAATTCTTTTGTCTAATTGATTTTTAACCAATGTTTTGAAGTTAATAAAGGTCTCACAACATCATATTTTTGTTTTAACAGAAATAGCTATGTAAATCTACTAAAATCATCCAAAAATAAGATATAATATTTATGTCTTGATATTGAGCAAATTGGAGATGGTCCCTATAAATCGGTGTGAATAAGTTCTAGAGATTGACTAATTCGTGAAAGCAAAGAAGGAAAAGGCAGTAAATGGGACTTGCCAAGTTGGCAAGCAACACAAAAGCTTTATTTTTCATTAATAGCAGTACTTTGATTACAAAACATAAGAACTTTAGATAAAATTTTGAAAGATGGATCTCCTAAGCATCTATGCCAAATTTTAATATTCTTTTCATTCTTTGATTCATTTAATAAATTAGAGACAAAAACTTGGTAGGAGCAGGATTTTACTTTGAGTTGCAAGTTTTCATTAATTTGATACAAGCCATTCTTATGCTTCCCTCGCAACAGAATTTTGCCCGAGCTTTGGTCTTTCACAGTATAACTAAGAGAGTTAAAAATCACATCAATATTGTTATGAGCAGTAAGTTTAGATACACTCATTAAATTATTTTCTACTTGAGGAACATGTAGAATATCTTTGAGCAATAAATCTTTACCACTATTAGTATGCATTTTAGTTAGTCCTACATGGCAAATATTTAACATCTCACCATTTGCAACAGTAAGAACCTCTTTATCATTGTACTCCTAATTGTTTTGTAAATTTTCAGCATCATTTGTTACATGGCTATTTGCACTGCTATCTACATACCATGTTTGATCAGGTATATTTTCAGTTGAGATAAGAAAGATTGATTGCTAGCTCTATTGCCAATATCAGAGAGATTTCCCATACAGGTTCTATCAAACCTTTAGTAACAAATAGATGTTGTATGCTCAAGTTTTCCACAAACTTAGCAAGGGATTCTGTTGCTGCCTCCAAATTTGTTACCTCTGGCTCTGAAGGTTCTACCTCCTTTGTTGTTTCCTGTTTTTCCTCCAATATAAGATTGATTTTGATTTTTATTGCCAAAGCCTAAGTTCCTTGCATAGTTGGCCACAGGTTGGCCAAGATTAATTGTAGCAATGTCAAGATTAAGCTGTTCTAATCTTCTCTCATAGTAGAGTAGTTTGAACTGAAATTCTACCCAACTAATGCTTTCATACTTGGTAATTTGGTAGACTAATGAATTATAGTCTTGTGAGTCTAGTCTAGCAAGCACTTGAGTAATTAAATCTTCAAGAGAAACATGATGGCTTGCAAGAGTGAGATTATCAGCTAGATTTTTCATGATCTTTAAGTAGTCTTCTATTTTCATATTTCCCTCTTGCATTTTTGCAAATTCTCTTTTGTAAAATATTATGTTTGACCTTGTTTTGATTCCAAACCAATCATTGATGTCTTTTCACAGTTGCTTTGATGATGTGTATCCCATGAGTTTTAAAGTTACAGTTGGTTTTATGGTGTTATAGATCCATCCGAAGAGAGTCTGATATTAAGCAAACCATTTTTCATACTCCATGTAATAACCAAGCCTAAGGGAGAGAAGGGAGCCCAGGCCCAGGCCAGGAAAAAAAAACAGAGACAAAGAAACCTTAGTAGAAGAAGAAGAATAAGGAGGAAAAGAATGAGGAAGAAGAATGTCTAACACATTCTTTAGTTAAAATTTGTAATTTTATATTTTTTAAAAGAAAAGTGTGTGAAAGACAAACTCTACAATATTTATATTAGAATATCTAGAGTTAACTAATCTTTTTTTAAAGGTAGCCTAAGATCAAACTTTTTATTTGTATTATATTTTAAATATTTTTGATAGGTATTTTCCCTAAAACAATGACATTTTAACTGATTAATCAGTTTTTTTCAGTTAATATTCTTTATATAGGTTATATATAATAAAATAAAGAATGCAGTCACTACAAGCCAACTATCATGCAACTTCTATAATGTGTTTGCCTCAAAGAAATGAATGATCTTGAAGAAAAAAATGTCATCCGACCATTTATTTCCAACGCATATCAATTATGTTAATGCTTTTAACTGTAATTCTATGATTTTCGATGCTAATTGGCTATGGCATATGCTGCTCGGGCACTTGAATTTTGGGAGCATCAAATTTCTTATAAATAAAGAGTGGGTTTTAGGCTTACCAACTATTCAAGTTCCTAGCCAACTTTGTGAGCATTGTGTCTTAGGGAAGAAGCATAGAGATCCATTCCCTACAAAGCATGTATGGAGAGCCAAAAAACCTACTTAAGTTTGTGCATTCAGACCTATGCTACGTGGACACTCTTTCTAATGGTGGTAACAAGTACTTCATAACTTTCATTGATGATTTTAGTAGAAAGGTATGGGTATATTTTTTAAAGCATAAATTGAATGCATGTGGAATAGTTAAGAATTTTGTGGCATATATTGAAAAATAAAGTGATTACTCTCTCAAAACTTTAAGAACTGATAGAGACATATAATATATTGTTTGTGATAATTTCTTAAGAAAATATGGAATTAAACATCAGTTAACACCTAAGTATACTCTTCAATAAAATGGAGTGGTAGAAAAAAAAAATAGAACTATTATAGCATGGTGAGAAGTATGATGCATTGTAAGAAGTTACCTAAGAGTTTTTGGACAGAAGCAGTTGCTTGTGCAATTTATATTTTAAAGAGATGTCTTGTTAAAAGTGTTAGTGATAACATACCACAAGAAGTTTAACGACCTTAGACAAAAGTTGTTCCAAAAATTAATAAATAGACTTTAGATATTTATTTTATAGGACAACAATATTGATTGAATTTTAAATTATTCTATAAAGCCACGAGAGTAATTTAGATTAGTACTACTAAGCATGTTTTCCTTTCATTAATTAAATTAGACAATGACGTCCCATCTAATTTTGTAGGTATTTAATAAGTTTTTTTTAAATATATGCATTTAGTGATACTTACATATTTTAAAAAAAAATACATAAAAATTTATAATTTGATTTAAATTTATTAAAAAAATGTACTAAACATTTAGTAAAAAGGTTGATATACTTAAAAAGAATTTATATATACTTATCAAGTTTTAAATATTTTATTTATTTTATATATTAACTAGTGTAAAAATTATTGTACTTAATAAGTTTTGAAAAGTGAAAAAATAGACATGGCTGATTTATTTTTTATCCAAAAATTTACTTAAATATGCTTCTTATATCTGATTAAAATTAATAATAAACTTATAAATATTTATAATAAATTTTTTTCATTAAATTTTTTTTTTTTTTTTTCTGTGACTTATTTGGAAAAGATTTATTTATAAATTTTTTAATTAGGTAACCCCGGCATTCGACAACTCCTTTGTTCCTAATAACCGACGTGCCTTTGAACACCAACTCGTCCATCCCTCTTCCCGGGGCAACATGCCACGATTCTATTCGTCCGCGTGTCATGGTCGGTTTTAAGGGACCCACGTCATCTCCTCTATGACAGGGGTTCGTTTGTCCGTACAGACCTGGATCCAAGAACCAACCCTCATCCAGTCCCTGCCCTCCACGTGGTTAACGACACGTGTCGCCAAATTTTGGCGCCAAACTCTCAATGGTCGGAGTCAACTAAGCAACGGCGAAGTCCTAGTCAGCCGCCACGTGTACACGCAGGATTTCTACTTCCATTTCACAATATCTCCTTCTCTATATTTGAGAACTTCAAAATTGGAAGTACCTCCAAAGACCAGTAGATCACAAGAAACAGAGTATTGGTCCTATAGTCTACACAATGATTCAAAAATTCAATCGAAAGCTTCAAAACGACCGCCGAATCCTGTCGTTTCCAGCAGTCCATCCTTGCGAGGCCATTTGTCCAGCAACCCTTCTCGCTTCTCTTACTTCTCTAGCTCACAACATATGTAATTACCAGTCAAAATCCTTCGCTACGCAACGAAGAAACGTGCGCGAAACAATTCGCCAAATTGCAATTTTGCTTGTATTCTTTGACGCAATTCATGATCGTGGCTTGACCCTTTCTGATTCCGTGCTTTTATGCTTCTCCGAGCTTCATCTTACTTTCCAAAAGATTCAGTTCTTGCTGGAAGATTGCTCAAGGGAAGGTTCAAGGCTCTGGATTCTTGTAAAATCTCAGCATGTTGTCACTCAATTTCGTGTATTAATTCGGGGTATAGCCACAGCGCTTGATATTCTGCCACTGAATTCGATTGATGTTTGTAGTGAAGTGAAGGAGTTGGTTGAATTGGTAGCAAAACAGGCAAGGAAGGCGAAACTTGAAGTTGACTCAGATGATGAACACGCCATGAATCGAGTACTTACCACATTGGATCTTCTCGACAAGGGAGTTGAACCAGAATTCCAAATACTGAAATGGGTTCTTGATTATCTGGACATCAAAAGCTGGAATGATTGTAACAAGGAAATCAAGTTCTTGGAAGATGAGATTGAAGTTCAGTGCTCCACCTGCGATGAAAGAGAGGTTCCATTTTTAAGCAGCTTGCTAGGGTTCATGAGCTACTGCAGGGGAGTTGTTTTTCAAGTATTAGACGATGAAAACCGGGATCAAATCGACGTGAGATGCATCATGGAGACACTTAGCTGCCTAAATCCAGACGATTTTCGATGCCCAATTTCACTTGAGCTAATGACTGATCCAGTGACGGTAGCCACGGGACAGACTTATGATCGATCTTCGATTCAAAAATGGCTGAAAGCAGGAAATACAACATGTCCCAAAACAGGGGAGAAACTGAAAAACACAGAGTTCGTCCCCAACACAGCTCTCAAAAAGCTAATCCAACAGTTCTGTGCAGATCATGGAATTTCTCTGGGTAAATCAGGAAGACATAGCCGTGACATAACCAGGACGATTATCCCAGGTAGTCCAGCCGCTGCAGCGGCCATGAGATTCCTCTCAAGATTTCTCGCAAGAAGATTGTTCTTCGGAGAAGGTGAAGAGAAAAACAAGGCGGCGTACGAGATTCGTTTGCTCACAAAATCAAACATCTTCAACAGGGCTTGTTTAATAGAAGCAGGCACAATCCCACCTCTCTTGAAGCTTTTAGCTTCATATGATAGGTCTGCACAAGAGAACGCCATAGGTGCTCTGTTGAAGCTCTCAAAGCATACTAGTGGGAAGAAAGTGATGGTTGAAAGCGGGGGATTGAACCCAATTCTTGCAGTACTTAACAAAGGATTGAGCATGGAAGCAAAGCAAATGGCGGCAGCTACTATCTTCTACCTCTCTTCTGTAAAGGGTTACCGGAAACTAATCGGAGATACGCCGGAGTCAATTCCATCTCTCTTAGAGCTCATCAAGGATGGTACTAACTGTGGTAAAAAGAATGCAGTAGTCGCCATTTTTGGTCTGCTCTTATACCCAGAAAATAAAAAGAAAGCGCTTGCTTCTGGCGCAGTTCAAATTCTACTTAACATTTTAACAACTTCAGACAAGGTGGAATTGATAGCAGATTCGCTAGCAGTTCTAGCAACACTAGCTGAAGATGCTGAAGGTACATTCGCCATTTTAGAAGCTCGTGCTTTGCGTCTAATAATTGGGAGTCTTCAGTGTTTAACATGTAGAGCAGGGAAGGAATACTGTGTCTCCATTTTGCTTTCTCTGTGCAACAATGGCGGCGATGAGGTGATTGGTGTATTAGCGAAAGACCCTTCTCTCATGGCTGCCTTGTATTCGCTCTTAACAGACGGCACGTCGCATGGCAGCAAAAAAGCATGTACCCTTATGAAGATTCTGCATGAATTTCAAGAAACAAGAACAGTTCGTGCCTGGTGAATATTCATTCCTCACTTCTGCTTCTGGTTCTCTTTCTGTGTAAATATACATATATATGGTGTGTGATATAGCCCGTGATTTTGTTTCTTTTCTTTGTTTTTTAACCATTTAAATGTCAGTGGATTAGCTCAGTTTTTGCAAGAGCTAATCACTGTGTTAGGCTTTGATTTCATAGTTAAAGGAAAGTAGAGCATGTAATGATAATTTATAGTGGGCAGTTTTGGTTCTTGTCAACTTCATATAGATAAATGATTAAATAAGTGAAGTAATATATATATATATATATGTAACCCATTCTTAAATGTTGTTTTACTCTTCTCAAAATTATTGATGTGATTATTTAATTAATAAATATATAAATTCTTATTTTTCTAAATATTTATTAAAAAAATCCTTTTTTTTTTTAAAGAAAAAAATTTTTAAACATTTTTTAGAAAATAATAACTGTAATCTTTTTAGACAAAAAAATGTACAACATATTATTTAACATCACATATTTAAGGAAAAATAATAACTGTATGGTTAAAGGATAATTTATAGTAATAAATGTATTTGATTGTTGATAAGGTAGGGACGTAATTATTTTGATATATGAATTTTAGATAAAATATAAATTATTACAAATGTTAAATTATATTTTTAATTATTATTAACATTAAAACATATAAAAATTGTTGGAGTTCTTTTAGGCAAAATTTTTTTTTAATTTTTATTAATTAAAAATTTATAATTTAATATGCCATTACGTATAACTTATCTTAACTTCAAAAAATTATAGCACTACTTAGATCACTAATTATATGCTATTTAATCTTTTAAAATAAGTTATCACAATTAAACATGGGCCAAGTTTAATTGACTAGTTCAAAAACAAATTCTATTTGATTATAAATTAAAAAATAAAATAAATATAATTTATATATTAATTTTTAATACAAAAATTATAGATACTAAATTTATCTTATTAAAATATTTCTTTTCAATATCTCTTATTTAATTTTTATATTTTGATTTTTTTAAAATTATTAATGTACTTCACATCAATCTTTAATGATTGAAGTATTTCTCACTAAAATTAGCTATTAATTCTGTTATAACACTTATTTTCAATTTTTTTTCTAAAAAATTCTTCTTGAACAAAATTTGTTTGTCCATTGTTAAACTTACAATTGTTTTTTATATGCCAAATATATATAGTGTAAAAACAAGATTATCTAAAAAATTGAAAGATTTATTTTTAAAATTAAAAATAAATTTATGTATTTATATGTTTTTTTTAAAAAAAATAAAAAGAACAGAAGGGTGGAAAGTTACATAAAAAAAAAAAAAAAAAGGTGATAATAAGAAACGATGTCGTTTGGCTATAGCAAACTTCAACAGTGGCCAGAACGTTTTAGGCGGTTCGCAAATTATCGAAGCCGGCATAAATTCCGTTTTCACACTTCCATCCTTTTCAATCAGTTGTAGTTACTATCTTGACCTAAATTTTTCCTTCATTTTGAGTTCTCTCACATTCCCTGAGCTTGATTTTCTGTTCGAATTCTTATTGTTCACTACAAAGCAATCTTGCAAACAAATTGCCGGTACTTTTTTGAAGTCGTTTGGGTAGTTGCAGCATCAGGGGGAACTTTGATTATGACGAGCGAACCCAAGGCAGCAACCGAAGTCGTGAAGATGGATTTGTTCGAAGACGACGATGAGTTTGAAGAGTTCGATATCAATGAAGGTGATAACTATTGTGATTATTTGTTTCTACAGTTCATTTTTAGGGTTCAAGTTTTATTATAAAAGTTGTTAGGTTGTCGTTGTCGTGATATCGATTGGATACGTGTACTCTTTAATCCGTCGCTGTTGCGTATTAGCTCGATCGTCTTAATCTATGGCGCCTAAATAGTTGGATCATTTATGCCTTAGATTAAACACCTTTAATCATTCACACTTAAGTTTTCATTGACATATTCAAGTATCTGTTTAACATTTACTGTATTAATTAGCTCTGAAGTAGATGAATCAAGTACATGGGACCGGTGCAATATGATTGTTGTGTCTTGGATAATGAGGTCGATTTCTCCATCTATTGCTCAGAGCGTAATCTGGATCGATTGCGCGAGAGACTTATGGAAAGAACTCCATGATAGATATTCTCAAGGTGATGCAGTTAGAATAACTAATCTCCAAGAGGAGATTTCAATGATGAAACAAGAAACCTATTCAGTCACAGAATATTACACACATTTGGAGATACTGTAGGATGAGTTTTCGAACCTGAGGCCTCTGCCTCGTTGTCACAGACCTTCTTGTGACAGTAAAACGCAATGTTTGTGTGGTGTTGGAACAACGGTTAAAAAATTAAAAAATACTATGAGGATGATAAAGCCATTAAGTTTTTGAGGGGACTAAATGAGTCTTTCAGCATTATAAAGTTACAGATCCTAATTCAGGATCCTTTACCTCCACTGAGTAGGGTATTTGCACTTGCTATATATATAGCATGAAAGAAACTTTGACACAGGACTTTCATAACAGAATTTTGATTCAAATGTTTTGCATGTAAACAAGACTTTAGTTCCTCAACAAAAATATCAGTTTTCTAGACAGAACATTAGCAATAATATAGGAGGAAATAAGAAGTATAATTCTGGAATTGGTGGATTCAATAATGGTAAGAGGCCACCATGCACTTATTGTGGCTTTACTGGACACACAGTAGAGAAGTGTTATAAGAAGCATGAGTATCCACTGGGAAATAAATCTAAGCCTCGGAACATTCCAAGAGTGAGTCAAGTTAGCACTCAAATTGATGAATTGGAATCTGGTGTACCTAATTCTCATGTAAGAATTAATGCACAGTGCGGTGGTCTAGATGCATTGCCATACTCATTTACTAAAGATCAATATCACAAGATACTATCCCTTATTCAACCGTCAACAGCTCCAAATATTTCAACCATTACTCCTCAAGTCAACACCCTCTCTGCTAAGTTCCGACATTCCACTGAACCAGGTAACACTACTTTCTCCTTTATTCCATCTACACTAGTTGACTGGATTATTGATTATGTAGCTAGCGATCATATAATGAGTTCAATTGAGCTGTTCACTTTATACATACCTGTTGAAAATATGTTCATTAGATTACCAAATTCACAAATACTTAAAATCACACACATTGGTACAGTAAATATTACACCAAACCTCATCCTTCACAATGCCTGCTTTGTTCCCTAGTTTGCAATCAATTTGATTTCCATTAGTCAGCTGTTAAAACACTCACATTTTTCATTGACATTCAACCATCATTATTGTATCATTCAGGATGTTCACAGCTAGAATAAGATTGGTTTAGATAGGGCAAGACATGGGTTGTATCATCTTGAAGTGCCAAAATTCAAGAATATACACAATGTGAATTCTGTTGTAAAACCAATCTTTTGTGCTCATTATGTTGATAAATCAAACCTTCGTGACTATTCTTCTCTTGCAATCAAAAATAATATGTGGCACTTCCGTCTTGGCCATCCTTCTCCACCAAGGCTGCAAGTGCTCCATTAGTTGAATGATTCAATAACTCCTTGTTCTTCATTTGTTTGTGATGTATGTCATTTTGCTAAATAAAGAAAACCTTCATTTCTCACAAGTGTTTCTATAAGTTCTTGTTGTTTCGAGTTAATACATATTGATATTTGGGGTCCTTTTTATGTTGCCTCATTCTATGGTCATCATTATTTCTTGACCGTTCTTGATGATAAGAGTCATTATACATGAGTATACCCTATGAAGACAAAAGGAGAAGCAAGGCAATTGACAATTAATTTTTGTGCCCATGTTGAGACACAATTTCAAACCAAAATCAAATGTTTGAGATCTGACAATGGCAAGGAATTCAATTTACACGAATTTTTTGCTAGTAAGGGTGTTGTACATTAGCTTTCTTGTCCATATAACACCACAACAAAATAGTGTCGTTGAAAGAAAGCACCAGCATATCTTGAATATGGCGAGATCGTTGCGATTTCAAGCCAATTTACTTATTAAATTCTGGGCAGATTGTATTTTGCATGCGGCATACCTCATCAATCGTATTCCGTCTCCAATCATCAACAATCAAACACCTTATGAACTTTTATTCCATACTATCCCTACACATCATAA